GGCTTTGTCCCCCTGGAGCCACGCTCCCTGCTCCTGAGGTTCGGTTTCCTCCAGCACCAGGGATGCCCTTGTGGGCGTGGTCACTGTGAACAGGCATGGACACAGTCCATGGCATGAGGGTGCTCTCCATCAGGGCAGAGGCCTCTCTCTGAAACTGATGCCTGAATCCCCATTCGCTGGGCTGGACGCTGCCCCAGGGCTGTACGGGGAGGTGTTTCAGTCAGTCCTGCTGAAGGCCGTAACAGTGGTCCCCAAGCCCCATAGACTTAACATACTGCATGCTTATTCTCATATTCCCTGGTGAAGAGACTAAATGTGGCCATGTCTCAGTGAGATGATTCAAGTTTGTGTTGAATATTTCCCATGTGCTTATTTTCCCATTTTCCATGTGGCAAAAGCTATTGGAAAATGATAAGTAAAATTGATAAAAGGGATATAACTCTCCGGTAACCTTGTCTATTTATAGAGAGAGTAAAGCAGAGATATAGGGGGTTAGCACAGTCTTGTCTAACGGAATCTTTCATCTGAAGACTCAAATAACTAAATTTGCCTCCTAGATCAGACAGTGGGAGTGTTCCCCATAATAGCCAAAAGGTGGAAGCAACCCAGTGTCCATCAGTGGATGGACTAACAAAAAATGGTCCATCCACACACGGAATATTATTCAACCTTGAAAAAAGGAAATTCTGACACCTGCTACAACATAGATGAATTCTGAGGACATGCTGCTAAGGGAAATAAACCAGTCACAAAAGGATAGACACTGTCTGATTCTACTCATATGAAGTGCCTAGAGGAGTTAAATTTCATAGAGATGGTGTGGTGGGGGGAAGGGGAGGTAGTGTTTAATGGGGACAGAGTTTCTGTTTGGGAAGGTGAGAAAGTTCTGGAGATGGATGGTGGTGACGGCTGGACAATGATGAGACTGTGCTGTACACTTCAAAATAGTCAAAATGCTAAATTTTAATTTATGTGTATTTTACCACAATTTCAACTGTGGTAAAACTGTGAGTATTTCCAGTGGTTCCCAAGCTTCCTCATACCTTTTTTGGCTGGAGTGTTCTGATAGCACCAGGAGCCCCCAGAGGTAGATGCTGGGGCTTCTCAAGTTGGCAAGTCTTGCTCGTCAGGACCTTCCTTCCTCCGTGCTGTGCTGAGTCGCTTTGGTCATGTCCGATTCTTTGCAACCCCATGGTTGGTAGCCCGCCAGGCTCTTCTGTCCATGGGATGCTCCAGGCAAGAATACTTGAGTGGGTTGCTATTTCCTTCTCCTGGGGGTCTTTCCCGACCCAGGGATCAAATCCAAGTCTCTTATGTCTCCTGCATTGGCAGGAGCGTTCTTTATCACCAGTGCCACCTGGGGAGCCTTCCTCCAAAGCCAGCATCTTTTCCTTGACCCTAAGCCTTTCTGGATTTCAGATTTCATGCCTTCCTCCTCCCCTGAGCTTTGTGCTCAACACAGGGCTTTGAGGAAATCTTGTATTGTTCTGCGTAAATTCCAACTTACAAAAGATACACTGGGGATGATTAACCAGTATCATAGAATCATTTTTCTCCCCCCTAGATTTGCTGCATAGTTGACTTCTAATAGATTAACTTCAAACGCAATTTACTCTGAGCTGTGTCCATGTGCAGCAACTCAACCTTTCTTTTTGGCTGAGAGTCAGGGGAGGCTGCATGCATCCTTTATTGAGAGCAAATTACACGTGACTGGTATTCCATTTTCAGAATAAAACCAGAGCTGCCTCAACGTGGTGGGAGGTGTAGGTAAAAAGGAGAAGAATGAGGAGAGGGTGATACAGGGCATTGGGTACTTGTAAAATATGCTCTGGGGAGACAGTCCCAGTACTCTTGCATCCCAGAAGTCCTTGGCAAGGTCTGAGCCCCCCACAAAGGCCTTGAGAGGGAACAGCTTCAGCCCAGGATGACTTCATTGTGGAGACAGAAACTAATTCCTCTCTAAGTGGGAAAAGGCTCTTTAGCTGCATTAAGAGGCTGAGATCTGATGAAAAGGCGAATAGATTCAATCTTCCTTGCATCAGTCACCTGGGACTTCATCAGACTCAAACCGATTAGAAAAATTCACATTGAAAGCATCATTTATAATAGACCAAAATTATAGAAAACATTTGGCCTGGAGGGAGGGAGAAATAGCATTTCCACCTAAGCTATAATCTTTCATTATCTCCCCCGCCTCCTTTTTGGGGTTTGACAGCCCTGTCTCCTCCCCCAGACTAATCATTAGACTAATTAGGGGCTAATCAATGTTTAATTAAAACCTAGCCATTAATTACAGGAGGTACTATGGCAACTTGGGAATAAAATGTGGCTGCAGGAGGGATCAGATTTCCTCAAGCATGGCCAGTGGCCCTAGCAGAAAGCTTTCCTTCTTGTGTTTGTGTTTCCTTCTTTGCACTTTGGCTTGAGGGGATCTGGAGGTCAACAGGGGGAGAAGGGAGGGAGTGGAGAGGAGGATGGATTGCTCTGAGTGTCTTGTCTTCTGGCCTGTTACTCAATTTTCCCACCCACTCCACAGGAGCTTTCCCCATGGTTCTAGCATCATTCTTCCCATGTCCCAAATTTAATCTACTAGTCCTCTGAAAATCTTTTATGGGCATCTACTTACTTGCATTTAGACTACACCCAGACCTCTCATCATGAACTGCAAATTCCTAGGTGAATGGTTCTCAACCCTGGCTGCGTGTTAACCATCACCAAGAGAGCTTAAAAAAATTTGAATGGAAGGATAGACAAATAGAACAATGAAGAATAGAGAGCCCAGAAATAGACCCAGCATATATGGGCATGTGATATACGACAGCACTGCTGAGGAGGGGGCATGAATGATCTTTGCCATAAATGGTGCTGGGCCAATTGGATAACCACCAGGGGGGAAAAAATAGGAAGCTTGATCCCTACCTCACACCATACATGAAAATCAATTCCACTTTCTAGAAGATAATATAGAAAAAAAAAATCTGGAATATCTTCATGATACAAAGAGAGCAAACTATAAAGGAAAAGATTGATAAATTGGGTTATATTAAAATTGAGAGCTTCTGTTTATCAAAGACACCATTAAGAGAGTGAAAAGATGGGGACTTCCCTGGCAGTCTAGTGGCTAAGACTCCACCTTCCAATGCAGGGGGCACAAGTTTGATCCCTGGTCAGGGAACTAAGATCCCATATGCTGCATGCTGCAGCCAATAAATAAATAAACAAAAAAATTTTTTTTTAAAGAGAGCACAAAAGGACAATCACAAAACTGGAGAGGACACTTGCAAAATACAGAACCAAAAAAAGTTCATAGAAAACTGGGAAAGTGACACTAAGCAGTTCACAAAGTGCTTTATTGGTCATCAGGGAAATGCAACCTGAGACGCTGCTATAAACCCATCAGGATGGCTAGAGTGAATAGATTGGTGACCTCAAGGGTTGATAAAGACCTAGGACAGTGGGAACATCGGTACATGTCTTGTGTGAGTGAAAACTGAAATAAGCCATTTGAAAAACTGTTCAGCAGAATCTGCTAAAGCAAAACATGTGTCTGCCCAGGTTCCCCGAGCACCGTGCAGGGAGTGGGGGGCATGTAGGAGGGGCTTGGCAACTCTTGAGGTGGTAAGTGACATAGCACCAGGAGGACTCTTAAGACAGGACTCCCTGTTCTCAGGGGAGGAGGGGTATGAAGGAGAGAGCCTGGATCTTGGATCCCAGCTCTGCATGAGCAACAGGTTCAACTTTCTGAGCTGTGGTTTCTCCATCGGTACATGGTGCTTACTGCGAGGGCTTGCAGGAAGGACTACATGTGATGAAGCTTATAAAACATCTAGCACATTGCATGGCCAATAGTTGGCATATAGTCTCTTTTATCACCCTAGGAGTCTACAAGCAGAGAGGGGCACATAAATGCAGATGGAGAGGGGCAGGAAACAGGCACGGGGAACCCAAGGTTGAGCCAGGTATAATCAGCCAGGGTCTGCATTTAGTGGCTAGCTCTGCACTTTTATTTCGGGGTGGAGTCGTGGCTGGGTAGGACCTGAAAGTGGTGTCAGGCCCTGTTGCCCTCACGTCAGGTGGCAGTGACGTGGCATTCCCTGTTCAGGGAGGCAAGCCAGCCTCAGGCACACCTCAGACAAAAGGCAGCCTTTTGCACCCCAGGGTCCTCCGTCAGCCTCCTCTTTCTTTACCACTGAGCCACCTAGGAGGATCTAGCTTGTATTATTTCAGCATAAAAAGGAATGAGCCCTGCGACATTCTATAACAGGGACGGGCTGGAAAATGTGCAGTATGATTCCACTTTTACAGAATGTCCAGATCAGACAATTCCATGGAGCCAGGGAGCAGATTGGTGGTTTCCAGGGGTCTGGGGGGCAGACAGGGGGATGGGGGTGACTGTTAAATGGTGTGGGGTTTCCTTCTGGGACTGGGATAAAATGTCCTGGGTCTAGATAGAGGTGGTGCCAGAACAACATTATGAATGCACTAAATTCCATTGAATTATAGACTTGAAAGTAGTTAATTTTATGTACTTGAATTATATCTAAATTAAAAAAGAAATTGTTAGTCCATCTTTTCCCCTGGGCTGCTGGGAGATGTGACAAACACACTGAATTATTGCTGTTAAAAACCCAACCATGGTTGCCTCCTCTGAAATGATGGGCAGCAGGCTGGGTTCATCTGCCCCCATCCTGATTGCCCCCATCTGGACCCAGGGCCCTACAGGTGTTGGGAGCAGTTATGTCTACAAACAGATTTATCCTGAAGTCAAGAGCTGGACTGCGACCAATGCAAGGATGCCCATCCCCACTTCCCTGACCCTTGATGCCTCTCCAGACGCTGGTAGGATTTCAGGTTGGCCTGTCTGCACCCCCCACCCCCACTGCCATCTCCTTTTGCTTCTAGAACAGGAATACACATGCCTGTTGAGTGGATACTGTTGCCATGTGCGCATACCAGTTTAAAAGGATGTGTTAAGCGGCTGACACAGAGATAAATGGGGATGGAGTTACAGGAGGGGGAGGGGAGTCCTCAGAGCAGCAGGAATGGGTATCACTCCCCACCCCCGAGGTGGGAGGGTGCCACCCTCATGCCGCCGTCGTGGAGGGGTCACCTAGTACCTTCCTGCTGTCACCTATGTGCGCCTGGATTCCCCACCTGTGCTGCCCTCACCAACCTCCAGGGGCGTCTGGAATCTGGAGAAGCTGAAGGTTAAGGGGTGCATGCAGGTGTTGGGAATGATCCAGGGGTGCAAGTGTGATGCATCACATATTGAAAGAGGGCGGGAGAGAGGAAGTATGCCTTTATCCATGTGTAAATCAGGAGACAGATGACAGAGCCACTCTTGACTCCCTCCTAGGTCTTCCTCCATCTCTTTTATGAGCGTTGTGAGTCCTTCCCATCTATAGCAGTGAATTTCCAACTCAAGGAAAAAGAAAAAGCCCATAAGTAAATTAAGTCCTTCTCCCGTGCTACCTGTATTGGGGCCACTGAGACCAAAGGGTCTCATTTATTATTTTTACAGATGAGCAAATTGTTTCCACCCTTTGTCTCATCCTCTGAAGCATGGGCTTATGTGGACTTGAGGGGCTCTGTCCAGAAGATGCCATCTGTGACCCCAGAAGGGACCAAGTCCCGCTGACATGTGCCCCTCAGTGTGGCCTCTAAGCATCTACCTGAGGGAGATGAGTCCTCCTTTAAAGACCCTGGAAGCAGACCCTTGAGGGTGCTCATCTGGCCCCCCACTTTCTTTCCTTAGTGTTCCAAGACTGATTGTTAGGGCGACCTCAGAGTGCTCCATGGCAGAATGATGTGAGTGTTGGTGTCCAGCCCTGTACCGTGTGGGCTCCTAGAATCCATCCAGGGTTGGTAGGTGTGGCTGGGATGTTGAGAATGTGCTAAGAGTACGTGGGGGTGAGGTGGGGAACTTGGAGGCTTGAAGACCCTCTTCAGTCTCCCTCTGAGCTCCCAGAACAGGCCACCGAGAACCAGGTCAGAGGATGTTTCCAATCACTGGGTACGTGCTTCCTCCTCCCCATCACCTTCCTCTTCCATTACCCCCTCCTCCTTCCCCTCTGTCTCATGAACTGTTCCGCCCATCCCCTCTCAGCACTTGCCACCAGCAACACACTGTGTCAGGAGCCTGTTTCCAGATAGATCTGCTCTTGTGCTCTGTGCCACCTTGAGCACGAATACCTGTGTGTGTGTGTATGTGTGTGTGTGTGTGTGCGTGTGTGTGTGTGGTGTGAGGGGACAGGGTGCCTTGGCCCAAATGTGTCTGCACAGGGTGGAGCCCTCCAGGATGGCAAAGGACTTGGGCACAGTCAGCATAAAGAAACCAATGTCTTCACCAAGGCCAGGAAGTTAACCTCGGTCCAGGGGACGACCTGCTGCCTGCCTGGCATCCTCAGTGCCTGCCACCCCTTGCCCTGCCCAGCTGCACTTTTCTGAGGGGATCCCTTATCAAGAGCCCCTGACACTTGAAAGGAGGAAGTGGTTATGGAGTCCGGACTGTGCTCTGATTCCTGCCTTCCCCTCACGTTCCCACGAAGGGCGGCTGCAGGAGGAAAGCATGCTGGAGGGTTTGGATGTGGTGGGAGGGGAGGTCCCGCCCTGTCCTCCTCCTGACTCCCAGGACTCACATCACACACATCTTCCTGTCTCAACACGTGGTCACCTGTATTTCACGTTGACTACCTGCTTGCATGGACCAAGAAGCAGACATGGGGAGGCTGTCAGTGGCTCTGAGCCATGAATTTCTGGTCAGATTTAACTCCTTAAGAGTGAAAGGGGAAACTTCCCTCATGGTCCAGTGGATAAGACGCTGAGCTCCCAGGGCAGGGGGCCTGGGTTTGCTCCTTGGTCAGGGAACTAGATCCCACATGCCACAACTAAGACCTAGTATGGCCAAATTTAAAAAAAAAAAAAGAGGGAAAGGAAGAGGGCCCAGGCTCCCTTGGCCTCCCTGGATCTTCATCTTGGTGCCCATGATACACGTGGTGGGGCCTCTCCCACACCTGCCGGAGTTAGGGCTTTGCCTGCAGGGCCACCTCCCACTTCCCCTCTGTGCTCTTTCTTATCCACACCCCTTGACCTGTTTGCCTCACTTCTTGCATCCTAGTTTGCAGTCCTCCCTTATCTCCCATCTGGACCAGTGCTGAGGCCTCCCCATTCCCCCCATCCCTGACATTCCCAGCCTACATATCCCATTGCTTTCAGAGTTGTTTACTAGGAACAGAGCTATTTCCATAGCATGGAACATTCTGCTCAAGAACATTCAACAGCTCCCCTTTACCTACAGAAGGAAACATGTCCCAGGGGAGCCAGTCTCCTTAAGCAGGGCGTTGAAACTCCTCCAATTTGACTCTGACTTCACTTTATGGGCCTGCCCAGCCTCACTGCCCCTCGACTCCTCACCCCCACATACCCCCTCCGANCCCCCCAACCCTCGCCGGAGTGAAACAAGATGGCCTGTGGCAGTTCTCATCTGTGTTTACTCAGCCTGGGCTCTGAGTTGGAAAGGTCTGTGGTGTATGAGGGAAGAGTCCCAGTAATTTTCCAGCCCACGCTACCTTCTCTTTTCTCTGAACTCAGAGTATTCATGGTCTGGGTCACTCTGCCTGGAAATTCATTTATGCAACAAACACACTTTCCATTGACATGAATCTTTAGCACAGCTTCACGAATTCTTCAAGCTCTTTGAGGGGGAACTTTTCTAGGAAACATCCCTCAACCTACTCCTAATTACCTGGTATTTTCAACCCATCTTTGTATGGTGTCAAAATCATGTCAGTGTATCATTTTCAAAATTCCATCATACAGAACTTATAGCTTTCTTGTCCTTTCGTCCTTTTATTCTTTTATCTACTGTGTGTTTATTGAGTTCCTGTTTTGTGACAGGCGCTGACGGTGTGATGGACACACGGCAGGTCTGTGCTGTCGTTATCAGGTGAGGCAACGCTGGAGCCCCCAGCACATGAGAAGCACTATGGTGATGAGGGTGAAAAAGGTGCAGGGGTGCTAGGAATGCAGGTGATGGAAGCTGATGTGGTCTTAGGGCATGTCAGAGGGCCCCTTCTCTAGAGAGGGGATGTTTCAGCTGACATCTGATGGATGAGGAGGTACTGGACACAGAATGGGGGGGGGGTAATCTGGAGGGACTGAGAGGCAGGCAGACATGTGAAAGGCAGGAAAAATGTCCCAGGTGACCCAGAGTGGCCTGAAATCAAGCCAGAATATCCAGGCAGAAAAGGCCATAGACCAAGTTGAAGGGTTTGTCTTGTATCCAGGGGTGATGGGAGCCGTAGAAGCTCTTTGGGTTGGGGATGGCACAATTAGACCTGCCTTTTGCAAAGATCAGCCTTTGCCTGCTATGTGGAGACACTGCTGGAAGAGGGCAGAGGGACTGAGTGAACTGTAACAGGGGTCATCAAGCTAGGGCTATGGGCCAAACCCGGCCCACAGCCTGCTTGTGTCTATAAAGCTTTATTGGCACACAACTGTATTCAGTAGTTTATATATTGCTGCTCTCGAGAGGTGGAATAGTTGCCACAGAGGCCATATAGCCCTTGGTGCCTAATATATCCATGTATAAATATACTTTTTTCCCTTGACTTTTATTTTTTGGTGTTTTTTTGTCTTATTATTATTTTTTAATATTTATTATTTATTTTGGCTGTGCCAGGTCTTATTTGCAGCGTTTAGGAACTTCAATCTTCATTGCAGCATGAAGGATCTTTAGTTGCAGCATGCAAACTTAGTTGAGGCATGTGGGATCTAGTTCCCTAACCAGGGCTCAAACCCAGGCCCCCTGCATTGGCAGCATGGAGTCTTAGCCACTGGACCACCAAGGAAGTCCTGATGCCTGAGATATTTACTCTGACCTTTTACAGGAAAAGTTTGCTGACAGTTCTGTTAAAACACTGCCTTAATTTGGGTTGTTCTGGAAGCAGAGCTGACAGGAGGATGTGAGCACAGGTATGCTAGAGGTGAGTGGGTGGAGGTCAACGATTTAGAAAGTGGGGCCAAGAGGATGCGGGGCTGGATGGGATCAGGCAGGTGAGAGAGTGGAAGTGAGGATGTAGATGGAGATTCTGCTTCAAGGGCAGACCTCCAGTTCAGATCTAGGCAGGTTTTGAGCAACCCAACTGTTCTGGAACCTTCACTTTGTTTCTCTATGAGATGACCTCTAGTCTCTGCAGCTGAATCATGCTCCACTAATCTTTCTCACCATGATTCACTAACGAAACTAAAAAGATTCTTCACCTTCCTCCCAAGTGTGACCCACAATTCCTGCAAGTTCCTCTCTGAGCAAAGCATGGGTACCACCATCCTGTCTCTCCCTCGTCAGCAAAGCGGCTGTCTGCCTAATTCCTAACTATGCCCTTCAAGGTTGCATTAAATCATTGCGCCAGGACACTGCATTGTGGGTAATCAGCTGCTGTTTTAATATGTTTAGCTGCTCTGCATTTCCACGGGCAGAGACTCTCTGAAGTGAAAATTGTGCCCCTGTCTGTCAGGATCTCTGCTGGAAATCACAGAGCAAAGGATAAGTCTAGTGTGGCAGGTTGGATCGTGTTTCTCCCCACAGAATAAACCCTGCTAAAGGCATGGACTGGAACTTCCCCTTCTCACTCTCAGACACATCTCAGAGACTTATGGTCATCCTGGCTGGAGGAAATCCAGCTGGAATCTGTTCTATGAATTCCCAGCGTCCCTTCACTTCTTTTTAAAAAACAGCTTCACTGAGATGTAATTCGTGTGCATACAATTTGCCAATGGACAGAGTTTTTGGTATCTTCACAGAGTTATGCAATGATTATCACAGTCAGATTTAGAACATTTTCATCATCTCTGAGACTGATAATGATAACTATCATCTCCCAAGGGGGCACCCCCCCATACTGGAAACCACTAACCTTTACTTTCTGCTTCTATAGATTTCCCTATTCTGGACATTTCATATAAATGGGATCATACAATATATGGCCTTTTGTGTCAGACTTCTGTTACTTAGCATGTTTCCAATTCTTATCCTTGTTGTAGTGTGTGTCACAGCTTCATTCCTTTTTAATGGCTGAGTGGTGCTTCTGGGACATTTACTTCCTGAGGCCCATCAGTCACCCCTCCCTGGGGGCTTCATCTTGTAGTCCTCATAGCACCCCACGCGGTAGGTCCCCAACCTTCATTTGACAGCTAGGGGAGTGGAGACTCAGAGTAAGTGCCTAACTCAAGGTCACATGGTTGCTTTGAGGGAGGCGGGAGGTCTAATCCTGGTGTTCAGAGCATCTTCCCAAATCTTCTGTAGTTTTCCTAGAATCCAGAGCAGATTAGAGTGAATTAGGAGAGAGGGCCTCTGAATCTGATAGGGCCCTGTGACGGGCTGAATAATGGCTCCCAAAGATACCCAGGTTCCAACCCCTGGAACCAGTGAATGTGACCTTATTTGGAGAGAGGGTCACTGCAGATGGGATTAAGGATCTAGAGGTGGGTGATTATCCTGGATTATCTGGGTGGGCCCTAGGCAGTCGCGTGTATCGGTTTAAGAGGAAGGCAGAGGGAAATCTGACACTTTGACACACACAGAGGCGACACTCACATGAAGATAGAGCAGAGAGAGCCGTGAAGCTGCTGGCTTAAAGACTGAGAGATGTGGCCACAAATCAAGGGTGGCCAGCAGCCCCACGGGCTGAAACAGGCAGGAAAGGCTTTTGTCCTGGAGTATAGCCCCGCTGACAGCTTGATTTCAGACTAGTGATGCTGATTTTGGGTTTCTGGCCTCCAGAACTGGGAAAGAATCAATTTCCGCAGTTTGAAGCCCTTTGTATGGCATCTGTTAGGGCATCCTCAGGACACTAACACAGGGCCTCATACCTGATTCCCAGGCCCTTTGTGCCTGAGACAGCTTTCTGCGTGTCCTAGCCGGAGCATGGTGGTACAGCCGGCTGTGTGCTGTTCTGTATACATTGAAAGCTGGGAATAGCATCTAATACCTCTTATCTAAGAACTTTGCATAAATGAAACCAATCCCCACAACAGCTCTGTGAGATAAGCTCCTATTGTTATTCCCATTCTACAGATGAGAAAATGAGGCTCAGAGTGGCAGGTTCACCAGTGAGGGGCAGAACCGGGTGGTCCTGTTGCCCAGTGGGTTTCTACTGCTCTCTTCTGCCTCCTTAAACTATGCTGCTTAAAGTAGCATGTAAGAGCACAGGCTTGGAAGGCATTCATTCATTCAACAAATGCATATCAAAATATATACGAGCCCTGGAGAAACTGCTGTTAAGAAAACTTGTAAAAAAAAAAAAAAAAAAAGAAAACTTGTGTCCTCCCCGCTGGGCCCTCACGTGTGCTAGTGAGACAATCGCCGAAAGTATAATGTGTAACCCTGGAGAAATGCTGGACGTGCCAGGACTCTTTCTGGGGGTGCATGGGTGTGCATATGTGTGTGCGTGTGTGCAAGCATGCTGTATTACACAGGGGGTTGGGGAAGGGAGCTGAGCAGGTGGGAGTCCCGTGGAGGCCTGCAGGGCTCAGGTGTGCTGGAGGAGCCCATGACTGGCTCAGCAGAAGGGGTGGAGTAGGACCAGAGGAGACTGGAGCTGGTGGAGGGGGCTGGCTGGGCAGGGCTGTGCCAGCCACTGGGCAGAGGCCCTGAGGAGCACTGGGCCGAGGGAACACTTGAGTTGTCCCACCTTCCTTGTGTGGCTGTGGGTCAGAGCCTCCACCTCAGTATTGTCGCAAATTTTAAATGCAGGCGCGATTGTGCCTGGCACCTGGTCAGCGTGTCTCCACAATTGACAATGAGTTGTCACCCGCTGACTGTCAGTGTCCTATGACTCTTGGTCATCTTGTGGAGGGAGGCCCCCTCGGGATTAGGATGCCCCATTTCAAGTATTTTCGTTGTACCCTTAGCATACAGTCTCACCTTTCTTTGGAAACTACTTATTTTTGGAATTTTCATTTTTCCCTCAGTTCTAGGGGGTTCCTTGTTCTGGAAGGTAACATAATATCCACCCACATTTCCTTCTCTAAAGCTCTAGAACTCCCCCAGAACTAGGTGGGTTTTGGCACTTAGGCTTTTTGGGA